CTTATATAACATTTCAAGGTTTATAAAGTTCATTTCATATATTACTTCATTTGATTCTTACAACCTCATAGCATATATTCTATTATTTTTCCCATTTTACAGATAAGGAAACTAAGGCTGAGAGAAGTAAATGACATTCTCAGAGTCTCAGAGGTAGTCAGTTCAGAAGAAGGATATGAACTCAGGTCTTCTTGACTTCAAATCCAACACTCTATCCATTACATCACTTAGAGAGGAAAGATGACACTTCTGTTGTGGAGATGATACCAATGGAATTTGGAAGGTAATTGGATATAGGAAGTGAAAGGGAGAAAAGAATCAAATGTAACCCCAGTTTTTGAACATGGGAGACAGAGAGGAAGGTTGTATCACTGGCAGAAAAAAGGAAGTCAGAGGGAAAAGCAGGTTTAGAGGATAAGTTAATGAGCTCACTTTAAGACTTATAAGGAAGGTGCATACCCTGTGAATTGCTTTGCCTGCTAGCTAGACCCTGCAAGTTTAGGTATCCTGTTGGTGGTCTGGGATAAAAAAGCTGCTGACCTCAGTACTGGAGTGGAAGCTTCCAACTTGCCGAAATAGCTAGAGAAGGTGTGATTTGGAAGGGACCTTAGAGATCATCTAATTGAATCCTTCATTGTACAGTTGGGGAAACTGAGGTATAGGGAGACAGCAGTGACTTGCTCAAAGTCAGGACTAATAGCACTTTACATCTACATAGTATTTTAACATTTAAAAAGCCTTTCCTTCATAACCAAGGAGGAAAATAGGCAGTTCATGTATTATTGTTGTCTTGTTTTTCATGATAAGAAAGTGGGGATTCAGAAAAGTGACATGATTTGCCCCAGGGCCATACAGGAGTTATTATCAGAAAGAGGATTTGAATCCAGGTCTCCTAATTTCCACTGAGCCACTCTTTCTGTGATCCTACGGATCTACTCCAAATTTAGAGCCAGAAATCTTGTTGGCACTTATAATTATGTTAACTGGATGAATGAAAACTGATTTCAATTCAGGAAAGTATGTAAAGAGATAATGAAGGGAAAAAACAAACAAACAAACAAACCTCAGTCATTTAAAAAAATTTGACAGCCTATTTAAACACAATATAATTAATTCCTTGGTGTTGTGAACCACATCTTCAGGGACTCTCTCATAATGTTTCTGGGGAGAGGGAACACTCAGATTTTGACTATTAGATCCTCCAAATCAACCAGAAAAATGATCAAAGGTACTGCTAGAACAATGGAGGAATTTTTTATTGTATCAATGGCATTTCATTAAAGACTTCCAATATACTTTGCAGGCTGCCAGAGAGTCAAACCGCATATTTGGCCCTATGTTGATATTATTTCCCTCATTTTGTTAATGATAGCCCAAATGTGAACATTGCTCAGGTAAAAAACTAGATTATAGATGAGACTACAGATTCAGTTATCAGTCCATATGATATATTATCGAGCATCTGTTATCTGTAGACAGTCCATGAACTTAACAATCTCATAATGCTTAGAGTCAAAACTATCCTGGGGTCAGCAGAGGCTTGCCCCAGGGGGCCTATGTCTGAAAGCAGGGCATGCATCCTTCCCTCACACTCTAGTCCCATCACTGACATAGGGGACTACATTTCCTACCAGAGGAGGTCACAATGGTTGACGTTAGGTAGACCGAGTAGCAAAGGAAGAGCTCATTTCCCCTGGATATCAGGGCGCTGTGGGGAGGAAGCAGCCTTTCTTCCCCTGCCACCTACCCCATGCACATGCAGTTATCCCCCAAGCCTTCAGTTATCCCATCATACCCCTTTCCCAGGGCCAATTTTCTCCATTGCCACACTGGTATAACTAAACACTGTTGGGGCAGAGTGCCTACGTGTTGCCTGGCTTGGAGATGTCCAGGATCACTCAGCAGTATTGGCTGCAGGATCAGTGGTGAGGAAGCACTCAAAGGTCTCTGTTCTATTCCTTCCTCCCTCTCAGCCAGATTTGCCTCAGGCGCTTAAATCCCAGTTAGGGCTGAGATAATCTTTACTCAGAAAGTACTGGAACCTTTCCTCCCTCCCCCTCCATCCCTCACCACCCCGCCCCCACCTTTTCCACTCTCTCTCTTCTCTCTGTTGAAATATTTTCCTTTCCTCTCTTTTCTGTCTTATTTGAGTTAAGGGAGAGCATAAAAATTGACCACTAGAAGGTTCAAGCTGTTGTGTGAGGCTGATTATTGGTGGACACTGAAGAAGAAAAAAGAAGGGCCAAAGAGAGGAATTATGGCATTAGGAATGGGAGAGGAAGGAAGAGGACTATGGAGATTTTGCCCCTATCTTGTGCTAAGGAGATGGTATGACAAGAGAAAAGGACCCTAGAGTCTGGTCCATGGCTTGCCTGAAAACCGGGGGACCAGGTAGGTGCATTGTTGGGCTGAGAGTGCCAATGAAAGTAGTAATAATTTATACAGACAAAGTGGGAAAATGCCACTTTCCCAGGGATTTTGCTGCACCGAGGGAATAGGGCATTTGTCACTGCCAGAAGACCCCTTGTATTCCTGGACTCTAAATGGCTCTCGGTATTTAGAGATATCTTTGAGACCTATGGTTGCTTGAAGGCAAGAATGTCTCTTTTGTTCTTTATTCTTCATTTTTTGGCACAGTGCTTTGTGTGTGGAATAAATGTATACATGGAATGAATGTAATTGAATTGGATTCAAGAGTCTCTATCTTGTCTTCCTCCTTGTAAGTAAACTTGCTTCTATAATTTCATGAACTGGATGCTTGCAATTAGTATATACTCTCAAGTCTCTTGGGATGGGGAAACCGTGTATATATTTCCTTAGGTTTAATGCATGGGGACTATGAGGAAAGAGAGTGAGAAACTCACCCAAGTTATATCTGAACCCTTTACATCCTGAGATCCTTTTCCTTGTTAAAAAAAAAGTCACAGTATAAAACAAATCTAAACTACATTTTTGTATTAAAAATGATCTTTTCTGCTTTAATTATTTCTTCCCTCCCCCCCAAATCCCAAATCCATACCTCCCATCAATCACCCATTTAATCAACCTTCAAGTAGTAAGTCATGTTTGAGGCCTAAGCACTTGCCAATTAGTCAGATGAAGCATACTGTAACAGCTGGTTTGGTCTTCTTTGCTCGATGACATAAGAAATTTCTCAGTCTCCTTGTCCCACTTCTCAGACCAAGATGAACACCCTCATGCTGCCACACCTCCATTAAAAGAGTGTGTTACTATCATGAAAGATACTACATTGCCATAGATAAAACAGATCTTATTTTATCTGAGGTGGGGTCATCAATAATTTGAATGAAACCGTGCTCAGCAAAACAAGTAAAGTGACATTCAAGTATCAGCATTCTTGGATTGGGAAAGAAAATAGGGATTTGATAACTTTTAAGCTAATTTGCAAATGGCTGATGGAGATGGATCTCCCCTCTGGGGAGCTGGGTTGTAATAATAAGGACAACAATAATAAGAAAAGAAGCAATAATAATAAGAGATGAAAAGAATGAGATAATAACGGTCACTGACATTTATATAACTCTTTAAGGCTTGCAAAGTTATAAGGCCCAAACAGATACTGTGTCACTTTAGGTTTAACCTTTCTGGGCCCCATTATCAAATGAAGATGTTAGACCAGAAGATCTCCAAGGTTTATTTCAGCTCTGATAGTTTATGAGTCTATAATGGAAACTTTATTTCCTTCCTTCCTTTCTTTGTGTCTCTGTCTCTCTCTCTCTGTCTCTCTGTCTCCTGTCTCTCTGTCTCTGCCTCTCTCTGTTTCTCTGTCTCTTTCTCTTGGTCATAGGCCTGGGAAATAAAATCTTTTGAAGAGGGGGCAAGAAGTATGTGTCTATTACAAAGAGACAGAAGGGGAAAGAAGAACTTCACGCCCTTGAGTAGGGACTCTTATTTTACATGCAGGTGCTCATGTCCCACATTCAGAGCTGCCTTTACCCATCTATGAACCTCTAACCATACCATTACTGTGGTCAACTAGGACTAGATTGTGTGAGTTGCCACCTAACTTGTAAGCCACACTTTCATGGAAAGCCTACAGCTTTCTTTAATTAAAGTCCTTTTTCTATGCGCTGCTGAGAGAAAGAAGTTTAAACATCTTTACCTTAGCAGCTGAGATCCAAGAAGATTAACACATGTTGATGGGCTTCTGAAATGTGTTTGCTTGAGCTCCGAGTAATGACTGAGCATATAGGTGAGATTTAATGCAGGAAATTCAAAAATTGAGCACAATTAGGTTAGTGTGGAAGATGGCGATAATATTTTAATAACATGGAGTTTATGCAAAAATTTGGCTTTCATCTGAGTAATTAAGACTAGAGAAAGGTTTAATGTGTATTTATTGAGCACGTAATAATAATAGCCCGTGATTTGAATACTAAGGCAATGTGGGTGTATTATGGGTCTTTTATTTTTTTCAGTTCACTGAAAGTTGACTCCTTTTTCATAATGTCTATGGAACTGAACAATAAGATTGGTTCTAAATTGAAATTAGAACGTTGAAGTGTTCCACCCAAGTCTTAGAAAAAATTACATCAGGAGAACACTTGATTCATCCTTAAAAGCTTGTGAGAAAATACTTTTTTGTAAATCAGTCTTGTAGATGTCTTAAAAATGTATTTTCGGCCCTGCTTTCAAAAGCTTGAAGGTCCCATCATTATTTGGGACAGCTGCATGGAACAATGTGTTCTAATGTGATACTGCCACAAAGGGGGTCTTCTTTTAATATGCTTCAAGGTTTGTGAATTTATAAGTGTAGACACTTCCTCCTAAGATGCTGATCACAACCCGTATGACTTTAATAGGCTGCCCGACCCAGAATAGGCTTTTATTGGTGTATTGATTGATTGATTGTCTTTGAGAGTGCTGTTGCTCAAAGAAGTCATCAATCTATAGGTAGCCTTGTGATCAGGGGCTGTCCAACCAACCAATCAATCAAATCAATTTTTTGAAAAGTATTTATTATTTGCTTTCTGTGATTCAGGTACTGTGCTAAGTGTTGAAGATATATGAATGAAAGTCATCATTGGGCCCAAATCTGATGCTTTCTTAGGTAATGAGTGGTGTGATGTGGGTTCCTGTGTAGTGAGGGTTGTCACTGAGTAGCTTGAAAAGAGGCAGAATTGACATTTCTAGCCTCTTCTCCCCTTACCCTTCTTTAAGGAAGACTTTAACTCCTGCTAGCAGGAGTTGGGGAGAAGCAGGAAGTTGGAACTTTAGGTCATTCTGTCCTTTTCAGAAAGAGGGAATGCCAGGCTAGAATTGTAACTAAATTCTCCCTTAGATATTGTTAGTCTAGGGGATATGATCTGGTTCAATCCAACTTCTGCTTGCTATGTCATTATTGAGGGGGAGGGAGGACTCCAAGTTTTTATCCAAGGCTTGACTCCTTTCCCACCAAATACCAGTGCCATGATAAACACACATAGTGAATAGCAAAGAAACCCATTTATCCAAATCAAAGCAAAACAAAAATCATAGAAGGTATACATAGGAGAATATATACCAGACAATATAGAGTATAGGAGCTCTCTCATTGGGAGCTAGCTAACTTAGTTCAACCAAGAGAGAGTTTTAGATCTGACCCAAGGGGAAGTTCCCTCAGATCTCCAGAGTAACAAACTGGGGGTGGGGACATGATGGAGATTGCCAGCTCTTCTCATGTCTTCTCTGTCTTTTTCTTTAGTAACCTGGAGTAGAGTTGGCCTCTTTCATCTTCCCTCTTGAAGCTGGAAGTCAGAAGCCTGAAGCAACTTTGATACTTGAACAATCCTGAAGAAGACCAGACACAAACTGAAATTCTCTCAATTTTGCCAACTCCGTCCATCCCTTCAGTCAGGGCAGGGCACTCATCTCTACCAATAAGGAGAGAACCCCATACCAATGGGCTCTGAGACTAGAGTTACACTTAGTTTGGCAGGAACTCCAAGACCTTGTGTTCTGGTAGCATCATTTTCAAGAAGGTAAGATCCCCTCTCCTACTCAACATGGCACCAAAGAAGAATATTAGTGGAACTCTTATCTTAAATTTTTATTAAAGTTTATTAAATATGTAATTGATAAAGTATTTATTTTAGGCCCATCCGCATTTCTTTCCCACTTATATAGTGTGGTTAATTGTTTGGTAGGGGTAGGATCATAGAATTTATTAAGGCTCCATAAAAAGGGGCCTTAGGGAGTATCTAACCCACATGATGAGTAGGGGAGGGTGAGGGCAAAGTAAGAGAAAGTATTTGCTAACTTAAAGTAAGAACTTCCTGGTTCTTCTTCTGGAACATCATGTGCAATGCTCCACAAGTGGCCAGTAGTGAATGTTGCGCTTCCTCTCCTACAGGCATAGAGCTAGAAGGTATCTCAGCTCAACCCTGTCATTTTGCAAATAAAGAAACTGAGGCCCAGTGAGAGGAACTGACTTGCCCAAGGTCACACAGATAGTAGCACAGCTAGGATTTGAATCCACCGCGTCTTTGCATTTTAGTAGAATTAAAGGCCACTGGCAATTTTGTTGGCTATTTTCAACCATAGAATCAATTTTTGAAATCCATAGACAGAGATGGGTTTGGTGGCACATACCTGTAATTCCTGTTACTAGGGAGGCTGCAGTTGATGGATTACTTGAGCTTGGGAGTTCCGAGCTTCTGTGGAGCTAAGACTGACTGGGTATCCAAACTAAGTCTGGTGCCAATATGGTGGGCTCCCAGGAGCAGGGGTCCCCTGGGTTTGCCTAGGGAGATGTGAGCTGACCTAAATAGAAGAAGGAATGGGTAAAGGCATTAAGGCCCATCAGCAGTGGGATTGGGTCATCAGGGGAAGAAGGGAGGGAACAAGCATTTATTAAGTGCTTACTATGTGCTAGGCGTAGTGCTAAACACTTTTCAAGGGTTATCTCATTGACCTTACAAGAGCTGTGGGAGATAGGTGCTATTACCATGGTTAAGTGACTCATCCACGGGTCTAACAGTTATTGTCTGAGGCTAGATTTGAACTCAGAACTTCCTAATTTCAGGCCCAGGACTTTCTCTACTTAACCACTTAGCTATCTTCTAGCCTGGGTAACAGGAAGAACCAGTCCAAAAAAAAAAAAAAAAAAGACAACACCAACAACAAAAACATAGGAAGGAACCAGATGGAAGGAGTCAGGAATTTAGAGCTATGCTTGCCTTTGACCTTAAGCAGTTAACATTCATTCGTTTTCTAAGTAGGTGATTTGGTCACGGCTTATTGCTGAGTATTTAAAGAGGTACCACTTTGAGGAAATAGTCATCTCCCTGGGCTCTATTCAGCTGGAATCATTAGAAAAAACAATCTTGCAAAGATAAGAGCAGTTACAGGCCAGACTGTCCCCCAAACTTGCTGTGATAGGCTGCTCCTAATGTTTTGCCCATATAGTACAAAGAACAAGGCCTTAGTCTTGACTCTTGTCTTGCCACTGGACTCTGATGACTGGAGGAGAAAGTGAGGCCAATGACTTTGTCTAGCTCTGCCTCACTTAAACCCAATTCACTTGAAAGTCTAGATATCGCCTTTGTGATGTCATTGGGCCTCTTAGAACTAAGGACAAACAACAAGGCCCTTCACAAGCCAGCCTTTGCTTGAATTATAATAGATAGAGACAAAGTACAAATTTCTCAAAGAATAAATTTCTTTTAGGCAGCATAGTCTACCACCATACTATTTGGTTGTAGTGGAAATAGAACCAAGAATTTCCGGTCAAAATTTTAACACCTATTGTTTTTATTCAGTTCAATTCAACATTTATTAAGCACCTTCTATGTGCAAGGTATTGTACTAGGTGTACAGGCACAAAGACAAAAATGACAATAGTCTCTGTCTTCACAGAGATTTCATTCTATTGGGGGAAAACAACGTACACACAGATAAGTAAATGCAGAATACTTGAAAATCAAATAAAAAGTAATTAAGCAGGGTGTACTAATACCTGGGGAAATCAGGCATGATGAAGGAGGAGAAATTTGAACTGAGCCTTGAAGGAAAATAGTTTCCTAGAGGCTGAGGTGGGGAAGAGGGCATTCTAGACATGGAAGACAGACTTCAAAGGCACCGAGGTGGGAGATGGAATCCCATGGGTGGGGAACAGGAAGCAGGACATTTTGATTGAAATGTAGTAGACATGAAGGGTATTAATATGTGATTGGCCTGGAAGGTTATGCTGAAGCCAGATTTGTGCAGTACTTTAATTTTCAAATGGGGGAGTTGGTATGTTTTACATGTTGATTCTTGTTCAGGTTTAGCTACTGAGGTCCCTTTATATTCTGAGATTCTATGATTATCCCATGATTCTTCCTCCATGAAGTGTTCTCTTGATCTCACTGTTGTTAATCCTTCTCTCTTCTCAAGTCACCTTACATTTACTTGTCATAGTATCATAGATTTGTATCTGGAAGGCACCTGAGAACTCATCTAAGCCCAACCCTCTCATTTAATGGATGAGGGAACTAAGTCTGAAAGGGGTGAAGGAACTGCCCTAAGGATCCCTTCATAGAAAGTAAGTTCTTTCAGGACAACAATGGTACTCTTTTCTTCCCCTCCAGCCCCAACTCCTAGCATGGTATTTTGCACATAGTAAGTAGTTGCTTAAATGTTGAAATGAAATGACCTGAGAGGAGCCCAGGTATCTTGACCCTAGGTCCACTTCTCTTTCCATGGCACCATATTTCCTCTTTCTTATAGTTTCTGTGACACTGGGCTTTCTTCTTGTGCTAGTCATTCCTTTTTCTTTGCTCCTTCATCTTCCTGTTTTCTAACTGTAGGTGAGATAGAACCAGAGTTCTATCATTGGGCCCTTTTTCTTCTCTCAATGAGATACCATGGGCTCTTTCCCCTAGTTAGTCTCTAAGGTCCATTCTAGTTCTAAATTTATGCTCCTATATGGAAGTCACATTGAAGATCTGAGTTTGAACCTCACCTTTGCTACATATTAGCTATGTCACTTTAGGCAAGTGATTTCATTTTAGTGTCTTTATTTGTCAAGAGAGAATTTGGGGCTAAATGATCTCTAAGGAGTGGGATGGAGCCATTAGTAGCTGAGTAGAAAATCAGGAAAGGCTTGATGTAGAAAGTGGCATTTGAAGTGGGCTTTGAAGAAAGCTAGGGATTCTAATAATTTTATATTTTATTTTTTTCCTCAATTACATGTAAAAACAATTTTAGCATTCTTTTTTTTTTCAAATATTAGTTCCAGATTTTCTCTCTCCCTCAATCCCCTCCCCTCTCATTGAGAAGGCAAGCAATTTGACATAGGTTATACATGTGTAGTCATGCAAAACAGGAAGTTAGGGATTCTAAGTGGCAGAGGTGAGGGAAGAGTTCATTCCAGGTCTGGGGAACACAGCCTGTAAGAAGGAGCAGAGCCTAAGGATGGGGTGCTTTATCTATGAAGAACAAGAAATAGGTTAGGCTAGAATTCAGAGTGCATGGAGTGGAATAAGTCCAGAAAAGAATCAGATGGTAAAGGGATTTATATATCAGAATACAGGAGTTTGATATAATACAGAATGTCCCAAAAGTCTTGGTGCAGTTCTAAGCCATAGGAGTTTAAAACCGCACCAAGACTTTTGGGGCCCCTGGCATATGTACACGTATGAAGGGACCATGGCCCAGTGACCTTCAGTCCCCTCTTGGCTCTGTTTCTCCAATTCTCCGGACTTCAAAATCATGCACTGGGTACCCTCATCCCCTCCCTCCTTTGAGCTCTCTTTTGTTGGTTGTCAACCCCTTGAAGACAGGGCAGACATTTTATTTCCCCTGCCTACATCCGAGCTCCTGAACTAGAACACAAAGCTTTCTGAAGTCCTGGGCTGTTGTATTTTTGTCCTTGGATCTTCCATGTGGAGCAAAGGGTTTTGCAATCAATGGGAACTTCGTAAATGTCTATTGAATTAAATTGTTGGACTTAGTAGGTGCTCAATGGGTTCTTGTTGATTACACCATACACCAAAATAAAGTCATGATTTAGATATAAAGGGTACATGATTTAGATACAAAGGCTGATACTGTAGGCAAAGTGAGAGATCAAGGAAGAGTTTACCTGTCAGATTTATGGAGAAAAGACGAATTTATGACCAAACAAGAGATAGAGAACATTATGAAATGCAAAATGGGTAATTTTAATTACATTAAATTGAAAAGTTTTTGCACAAACAAAGCCAATGCAACCAAGATTAGGAGGGAAACAGAAAACTGGGAAAGAATTTTTACAACCAGTGTCTCTGATAAGGGCCTCATTTCTAGAATATATAGAGAACTGAGTCAAATTTATAAGAATACAAGTCATTCTCCAATTGATAAATGGTCAAAAGATATGAACAAGCATTTTTCAGATGAAGAAATTAAAGCTATCTATAGTCATATGAAAAAATGCTCTAAATCATTATTGATTAGAGAAATGCAAATTAAAACAACTCTGAGGTACCACATCATACCTATCAGATTGGCTACCATGACAAAACAGGAAAATGATAAATGTTGGAGAAGATGTGGGAAAATTGGAACATTAATGCATTGTTGGTGGAGTTGTGAACTGATCTAACCATTTTGGAGAGCAATTTGGAGCTATCCCCAAAGGGCTATAAAAATGTGCATATCCTTTGACCCAGCAATAGCACTTCTAGGGCTGTATCCCAAAGAGATCATACAAATGGGAAAAGGACCCACATGTACAAAAATATTTATAGCAGCTTTTTCTGTGGTGACAAAAAATTGGAAATTGAGGGGATGCCCATCAATTGGGGAATGTCTGAACAAGTTGTGGTATATGAATATAATGGAATACTATTGTGCTTTAAAAAATGATGAACAGGCATACTTCAGAAAAACCTGGAAAGACTTGTGTGGACTGATGCTGAGTGAAGTGAGCAGAACCAGAACATTGTACACAGTAACAGCCACATTGTGCAATGACTAACTTTGATAGACTTAGCTCTTCTCAGCAATGCAAGGATCTAAGACATCTCCAAAAGTCTCATGATGGAAAATGCTATCCACATCCAGAGAAAAAACTATGGAGTTGTAATGAATATGGAAGCATACTATTTGG